AAAAAAGTTTTTTTTATATTAACATAGAAATTTGAGATTTTCATCCCATTTGTGAAGAAACGCAAGACTTAATAACATGTAATCCTGAGTGATCACACATTTGCTCATTCTATTTTAATTTTATCGTCAGAATTTGAATAAGCGTGACGGTCGTTTCCGATTTGACGCGACGTTACGCGAAACTTTGTTTCGGATTAAGTGTCCATTTATTTGCGCATCGCTGTCTAGTAATTATTTTGGGTATTGTGCTTTGAAGCCAATGGAGTCGTATCACCTAATAGAGAGTGGTGACTAGAAATACAGAAAATTTGTCAAACCGTATTTATTTTTACAAAGAATAACTTTTCTAAAGTCTTTTTAAGACATATGTTATATTACAATCATAGATGATCAAAATGTCGTCTTCGCACTTGCAGTGTCTTAACTTTGAAGTCTAGCGCTTGTAGTGTTTTAAAGGTTGACTTGTAGGATATTCTAATTCAACCTATATCTATACACATTTTAATCGTGATCTCATTGGCCTTCAAATTTTTTGCTTTTCTAGCGACCACCTGAAATAAATTTAAAAATCTAATTCCCAAAATAACAGAATTCATAAAATCATAATATAAATTTCAGAAATCCAGAAGCTGAATAATAATCTGGGTAACATGGAAAAAAGACTAAAAGAGTTAGAAATCAGATCTATAGCGAAAGAAACAACCTTCAGAGCCATTACAACATCACCTCAAATTTCAACACCAAGTCCAGAGGGTAGTTAAGTTCTTTCTATAATTGGTGAAATAGGGTCACGAAAACAAGTGCACAGTTTGCTACACTTGTACCACTTACCTGAACAATACTTCTTGATAGTTGCACCACTTTTCAGATTTCGATACCGGTAATTTTAACGTGGTTGAAACGGGGTCACGAAAACAAGTGCACAGTTTGCTACAATTGTACAATTTGCTTTACTTGCACAATATATTTCCCAACATTTGCACTACAGTGTGCCCCATACCACTTTTCTTGTGTGTTCCGCCTGAATCCTTTGGCGATCAGGAACGTAGTCAAGATTTTACAAAGTGGCGTTCTAAAATTTTCTAATTGTCAAGTAAGTCCGTAACAGCGGGTCCTACCGGAGGCGAGAAAACTTGGGTATTTACTAGTAGTGTGGGTCTAAGATGCGTTTCAAGCTACGAAAAATCACTATTTATACTACAAAAATTTTTTTTTATTTCATTTACAAATAGTTCCGCCCCTCAAACCCACATGCTACGCCCTTGGTGTCAAGTACAAGCTAAAGTATCGCTAGACTGATATCAGCTAATATTTATACGGAATTAATTTTAAAATATAATTTCCAAAATTTGAGCAAGAAATAATAGAATTTATAAATCCATAAGAAACAATTCAGAAATTCAGCGTCTAAGTCTAGAGCGAATATTCGATCACATGAAAGAACTAATAAAAGACTCCTCTACAACGATGACAACACCGTTTCAAACTTCGACACCAAGTTCAGAGGGGAATTAAGTTCTTTCTATTATTTGGGTGAAATGTAGTCGCGAAAGAAGCGCACCACTTGCTACACTTGTACCACTCACCTGCACAATACTTCTTGGCAGTTGCACCACTTTTCAGATTTCGATACCGGTAATTTTAACGTGGTTGAAATTGGGTCACGAAACCAAGCGCACCACTTGCTACACTTGTACCACTTACATGCACAATACTTCTTGACAGTTGCACCACTTTTCAGATTTCGATAACGGTAATTTTTAGGTTGTTTTAATAATCGGGTGAAATGGCGTGACTAAAACAAGTGCACCGCATGATATGGTACCGTTTGCTCGACTTGCACAATATTCCCTAACATTTGCACCATTTCACATCCCCACACGTAGCACTTTTCTTACGTATTTCGCTTTGATCTCGTTTTCCCCTTATTACTATTTACCAGTATTGTACCAAATGTACTATTTGAACCGCTTCCCCCTTTGTAGCGAATCAAACCAGACGCGAAGACGATTCAAACCTGACTTCAAATAAGCCAGTCAATAAAAAAAAATCATAAATTTTAAATATTATTGGTGACGATTACAAGCGAAAAGATTGCTGGACTGCAGGTCCTTACCATGTGGTTCAAGCAATGTTATGGCTCCCGTTGGCGCTTGGGTATTGAAGGGTAGTCATACAAGAGATTAATTAAAACACTACACGCAGTCACTTATATGACGGAGCTAATTATGAAAAATGGATTTTTTTTTCGGCATTACCTACTCCATTTAACCACTAGTGGAGTGATAGGTATGACATGGGTTCGATCACAAAATATTCAACCTACGAGGCCAGCATAGTTAAACCCACTGCTTTATCCACTATGTCGATACAGTCAATTTCGATGCTTTCTCAAATCCCTTCTCAATTTCGTTAAGGTTTCGACGCCTGTGAAGTGTATGACGACGGATTATGTTATTTTTTAACAAAATTAAATCTGCAAGGTGTCACATATGAGCAAGGAGAAAAAATGTGTGTTGGCAATGGTGGGAACATTGCGAACATATACAACAAGAACCAATATGAAAAAATACTGCGATACGCAAAAACAAAGTTGCCAGTTTATCCATCCTACATTAACTTGTGGCTAGGAATGACCTATGACCCCAAGGTTTGTTGATATTACTTCCTTTTAAACCGGAAGTCGACCATGGTTTTGTCGAATTGCTGTTATTGTGGGGAATTTTATTTTTTTTCCTAATTAATCAATCAATTTCAAAATTTTAGTACTTTAGATGGAATTACTTTTATCTGTTGAATTTTCTATGAGTTCTTACAATACATGTGTTTTCTTTATAAATGCGGAGCAAGGTTGGTGACGTCACCACACAAAAATTTTAAGAAAAACGAATTATTTACATTTTGTATCAGACAAAGATAATGAAACTGAGCGACAAAAGTACAGCGAAGTAGATCGAATGGCATATCGGCTTCCCACATAAAGCCCAATCTATCTCAAGAATCGGTGTAGTAGTCGGTGATGGCATAGGACGACAATACAATGGAATGATGAACACGTACCCTCCGTACATTTACCACGGCGCTGTTTGCCAACGACCAGCGCAATTTGGCTCTGACTTTTGGGGTTCTGCCTGAGATTTGACCTTATAACACTGACATGAGTAGACTACGGCCCGGGTGCCAAATCCGGCCCGTTGGGTAATACAATCTGACCCGCCCGATGCTGCCACAGCCAAGATAAAAACCAAATTTCGATGTTTCAGCTAAAAAAAAGCTTGAAGAATTTGTTGAGATTGCGAGTAATCTTGGTTTTGGCACAGTGCTTATTGTTTTCTATTTTTGCTGTTATAATATCGTAAATATTATTCATAACAGTAGCTTTTCACGCCACACTCACATGTCCCGCCAGTCTGGGTAGGAAAAATGTTTGGCCCGTAGTTTAAAAACCTTGCTCACCCCTTCTATATATTATGTATAAATCCACTGCTATCTAGTTTTAAAGCGTTTTAGTGCAGCAATTTGTGGAAAGTTTCCTGTGTGAATCGTTCATTTTTTGAATTTTTGCGGATTAGGATTTTATGTTTTTACTTTGAAAAAATTTTCACACAAGCACAACATTTAAATGTCTCCATAATATTCCTCGATTTCACGCCACAGAAGCAGTGGTGAGCTGTAGTCGGAACGCACCGGAACGGCGTTCCGTTTGTTGGACATTTTATTGCATTTGCGTTCCTGTTGTTAAAATAAAATTATGGTACAAAACGTCTAGTTTCTCAGGTTAAACTAGGTATTAATTTATGTTTTGTTACATTATAGTTCGTAATTCTTTTTACATAACATCGCGTAAATAATTTGTACAGAAGTAACGTGTATTAAATATTTCTCCGACATTTGACCCCATGGAAATTCATCCTATACCTTTCTAAAAATACCGCTTGCATTGAATTGCTATAAATATTCTTCATATTTCAGATAATTTCTTTATATTTCATTGCAGTTCTTCGACATTCTGTCCGCTTCGTGTTGTAAATATATTACTTTTTGCGAATTAGGTGCGTTCCGGTTGTTAGGATTGTTTCAGCTCATCACTGCACTGAAGTAGAATATTTCGGGGCTCCCGAAGTATGCGAACCAAGATTGGGGACATCGGAATGTAATATGTGTACTAGGTTAGGGTTAGGCCATAATTTTAGGTATAAATACTACGGGAGGCTCTTGGCTAGTCTTCGAACTGATAATAGGACTAAAATAAGGAAATTGGAAAGAAATTATCGCCTAACCCTAACCTGTTACCCATGTTACGTTCCGATGTCCGCCATATTGGTTCGCATACTTCGGGAGCACCGAATATTTTAATAGTGTGCTATCACGGGCCGAGCATTTTCTAGTGGTCCTGCAATAAATTTCAATTATGACACTGATACACAAAAAAGTTCTGTAAATCCAACATTACATATGCATTTTTTGCCAAATTTTATTTGTTCATATATCGAACGATATATAAACCATAAAACATAAGGTTCATTTCATTTAAACAAATTAAATGCCCGTTAACAAATTTATTACGTGGTCAAAAACGATTACTAACTTTATTATTGTGCAAAGCCATACTCAAGGAGAAATCGGCGAGCACATCAAAAAACACACACAATATTGTATATATTTAGTTTATTGCACCTTTATCACAAGTACTGCCCGAGTGAAGTATAAAATATAGAAGTAGATAAACTAAAAAACATATTCATATAACACCAAGAGAGCTATGCTCAAATATATGGACACGTCTGAAATAAACGAAAGTAATAGCCTTCTGAAGAAAATTTTTATCTTTAACCACTGAAAATTTCAGAGCAATTGGTCCAGTAATCAAAGAGAAAGGCAATTTTTTAAAAACGTGTCAAAAAACAACAAGAAGAAGATGAGTGCCAGCATAAAGTGCAAAACGATCGTTATGTCTACTAAAGTGTCCAATAAACGAAAATATGGCACCAAAAGTTAAAACAATTCGCTCAATTTTATAGTAATGACAATTGTAAGTTTAAATAAAACATTTTGTATGATAATAGAAAACTACAAGGACATATGGAACTAATTAATAAACAATGTAAAAATTTTTTTAATTGTGATTACTATAAAATCGAGCGATGATTTCACGAACTGACATATTGAAGGCAGTCGGTATGGAAAAGGGACATTTACGACAATCATAGCATAGTATGGCGTGTTCGAGAATAAACAAAAGCAAACACTTTGGTATTTTCTGGGGTACTTCTAGCAAGTTTTCTAATAGCTTACACGCAAGCATACGGATTAACCGTTGTTATTAATTTAGGGCAGTCAGTATAACAAAAGGCCGTTTATGAGACTTTTAAATGGCAGAATGTCGAAGGGTAACAGGACGGAGAGCACTTTGGTATTTTTTAGATCTTCAAAATAAGTTTTATAATGACTTATGTAAAAGCATATAAAGTAACGTTAATTATTTCGTTAGCTGGCATATTTAGGGCAGTCAGTTTAAAAGGGTGAGTGGCCATAGCACAGTGTGGCCATTGACAAGCAAGATCACTATGATTTTTAGAGTCTTATTTGGGAAGTGCAAAGCAAATAATGAAGGGTCAATCAGAAATGAATAGGAAAAACTATTAAGTGCAAATGAGTTAAATGGCGTCACTAAGTGCAAATAGCAATCAGTGAAAAATAAAAAGAATTGCCCGATTCAAACGGTTTCGTGTAATTGAGACCTCAATTAATACATTAGTCTGATGACGTCAATGGGATATCTCATTACACACGGAACAAAGGAAATAGTTTTGTAGCGGATGAATATCGTTGTATCTAATGTTTATGATAGCTATATCGCACAAAGATTTTTAAACAATTAATGATAAAGGAAAACCCCGATGCCCCGAGTTATTCACATTCCAACATGGTTAGGTTTTAGGCTCCAATCTCGGCGCTCCAGAAGTGTGTGTACCAATATGAAGGTAACCAATTTTGTTCGCCTACTTTACATCAAGTTGCGTAAAAAGACTGAAACCTATGGGCAGGGGTATATTCACTTGGCTACCACAGACAGCCATCGAACTCGTAATAGAACCTAAATAAGAAAAATCGAAATAAAATTATTGCCTAGCCCTAACATAGTACACATACTACGGGAGTACCCCAATCTCTTCTATGCCTTGGTGACATGCCAATGTGGATACCGAAAAAAAGTTTCACAAAAACCTTACGCAATAGCACAAAAATTACGTCACAATAAAATGTGAGTCGACATAATACAATGTATAACATCATAGCACCTTCCGAAGTAGCAGTAAAGTCCAATGGCCCTGGCTTGACGCCTTTCCTCATAAGGATGCGTAAGTTATATATGTACAATAGTACAACTTTAACTTTACGGATTTTGAAAAATTCGAAAGTTTGTATCCGATTTTCTTTTTGTCTCCGTCCACCACTTTTTCATCTTTACATTTGTAAACCGTGGCCCGAATGGCTGTAATAACTCATCACGCTAGTTGGTAGGCTTAGCCGAGTCTCGAGTGCTGTCCTCTACATTTTTTAATCCCCAAAACGATGATTATTCCGAGAATCAGAGCAGTTAAAGAACCAACAATTCCTACTATTGCGCCCGTTGAGAGAGAACCTGCAAAAATAAATAATAGTAATTTTATTGGATGAGTTGGAATTGGTTGAGAGAGAACCTGCAAAAATTATTAATAGTAATTGTATAAGATTAGTTGGAAATCAGGATGTGCAACATTTTTATCGGCGGGCCATATAATCAACTTTATACATCTAGCTGAGCCACACAAAAAATTTTAGCGGAAAAAGCAGAAGAGAATGGAACTATCGCTTAGCTTTACAGTAATAAAGGCAGCGAACAAACGACGGAAGACCTAACGCAGTGATAAGATAAAAAAAATATTATGTTTTTTTACCCAAGTGAGCGTCTTTTCAAACATAATCTATAACAATCGCAGCTAAAATGACAATTCCCGCTATTGCAACCGGAGACAGTTCTGCAAATATTAATAATAGTAATTGTATTGGGTGGGTTGGGCTTGGTTTAAATCAGGGCTGTGTAACTTTTTATCGGTTGGTATTATAACCAACTTCAGACATTTAGCTGAGCCACACAAAAAAATAAGCGAAAAAGGGCAAGAGAAGAGGACGCGAATATTGTTTAGCCTTGCAGTAAAATGCGCCGGGCAATATTCTGACTCAAAAGTGTGCAACTATTTCATCGACGGGCCCATAACTTTTTTCAGATATCTACCTGAGCCACACTCGCTGTTTAAATGACAATTCCAGCTATTGTACCGGTGATAATTCAGCAATAATTGAAAATAATAATCATATTGGGTTACTTGGACTTGGTAAGATTTTACTTTTAGGGCTAGGCTGTCTAATGTGGCGTTGGACAGTGACACGCTGCCGGTATTGACTCGCTCAAAAACTCGAATCGAAATTTGGATTTGTCATTCAGCACGACTAAAACTAAATCCTAGAACCGTCCTGATAATTAAATACATACCTGAAGTTTTTATGTCTTTGGAAGACGTTGATTCCACTGTAGTTGATGTACCGGGTTTTTCGTTTATTGTTGGCGATGTGACTGCAAAATGGAATAAGTGTGATGCCTCGATTTTTTTGATAGTTACAATAATCAAAATACTGTCTAAATGACGTGTGACATCATTGAGATACTTTTATTGGCATTTAATGTCATCAGTTCTGGCATTGTGCAATTAGGATTATATTTAAAGCGACATGTGACGTCATCATCTATGACGTTATAAAGTTCAAATTAGAAATCATTGAAAAATGATAAAAAACGAAGGTGCAAAATTGGCTTTGGTCGATATGTCTCAATTTTAATGTTTGCAATGTCTACACCTGGAAGGGAAACGCTCCATAAGTAAGTGAGTTCTTAAATGACAATCAATATCTTCCGTTCAGATTCGACTCCTAATTCTAAGTTTAGCCTGAGCCCTGCGTATGTTAGATTGCTTACTTGTCGTTGAGGCAGTAGTTGGAGTCTCAGTCGTGGTGGTCGGATTCTCAGAGGTAGTGGTAGGAGAATCCGAAGTTGAGGTCAAAGTACTTGTAACCGCCGATGTCGTGGGAACTGTCGTGGTTTTGTCCAGACAAGTGTGACTACAAGTTGCCTTGTAGACTGGAACGCATGTTTGTTCCGTGCTGCAAGTACATGCGGCTGTAAATAACATAGCAAATATAAGAGAATATAGGAACAGATGCCTAGGTATACACACCAATATGGTGGTAATCAGTTTTTTCGTCTACTTTACATCAAGTTGTGTGAAGTTTCAAAGTGATTAATGGCATAGAAAACGCTGTTTCCACAGCAACAACGGTAACAGTACTCCTTCACATATTTTATCAGTGACTCAGGACCTCTTTTGAGCAAACTTGACATTAACTGTGAATATACTTAGCCTAATACATATGTAAAAAACTGCGGAAATGTAACAAACCTTTTGAGACGACACACGCGTATCCAATTTCCTCTGTGCAGCTCTTCGGAAACAATGAAAAATTGTAATTTCCTAGTCTCTTTGCTGCCAGACACGGTTCCGAAGTAACGGGTGGTTCGCCGCTTTCCCAGGTATAATCGCCGATTCCCAGAAAATCGCCGTTGGGAGCGTTCACACTGCCAGTTGTATTATCTAATAAACAAGAGAGCAATCATTGAATACTTAATAGCCATAAAAACCGAATGTTATAAACAGTGTCCCGCGTATAATGAAATAAGCATTATTTCATACATGTGTGACGTTATCTGTTGTTACGTAATGCCATTCACTTCATACCCCAGAATAGATGGTGACGTCATCGGTTCTGGAATGATGTCATTGTATCTATGCTTGAATAGGCCAATGATACCGTATTATGCCGTTACGCCGTTAGTAATGAATAAAATCAAAAAAAAAACGGAAAGTGCAAAACTGGCTTTGCATAATGTTTATTGATAATATTTACCATATGATAACGACGTCCATATTTCTCCGCATATTTCAACACCTCCTTCGATCCCGAAATACTCTTTATAATTTGCGATGTGACCAGTGTCACTGTTATCAGGTAGAAGAACTCCGCCCATGTCTGCACAAGCAGTCTGCGCACCCGCTTTGGTAACTTGCTCAATAATATCTCTTTCCGCAATGTATTGGCATTGTTGGGCAGTGATGTGCGCTGGAAATAAATATAAATTTAAAATTCACTCGAAGGAAGATCATGTGACTGTTAAAAAGAAATTTAACAAGTGTATACATACTAGAAAGATGATTGGTTTTTTACATTTACAGGATATTCATATCTAACCAACGTTTCGGGCACTCAATCAGAAGTAGACTCAAATCCGGGCAAAATTACGAGCAGTTATTCAAAAGAAACGGAGACTCATCTCCTAGCAAAGCTACAGGTAATCGATGTAATCAACGTAAGGTTAAGTTGAGGTTATCCCAAGCTAGTACCCTCATCCGTTATCTTCGATTATTTACCCGTGTGAAGTCTATTTCGAAAAAAAAATTAGACAATAAAAGATTTATACTCACATCTGCAATTTTCAGCATTCAACTGTAGGAAACTCCCTGCCAGAACCAGAAGAACAATAGTAATAGAGACCATACCAGTATAGTTAGTTAAGTTTCTTTTCAAATGTAATGCTTATATATATTCTGGAGTTAGAAAGGAGTTAGAAAATTAAGTTAGGTTTTTGTCATTTTATATGGCCACACTCACTCATTGAAAATTAAAGACCATAAGGTACTAACTCTAGAATCCAAAGCTTTTTGTTAATGCTCATTTGGAAATTTTGTGTGTTGATGGTGACTGCATGGTGTCATTATAAAGATATAATAAATCTGAATGATTAAGAAAATTCGTTGGCTGCTGCGCGCCACTCACACGAGTATACAGGGTGTTCAAAATATATTTAAAATAATACCAATTTAAAATTTCTTTGTTTTTGTTTATTAATAGTTCTTATTGTGCTTGTAGTTATCATTTATCATACGAAAAAAAAATATTAAGCAACTATAAAACGAGATAGCAATCAGAGACCGCCTACTTATTGATCTAGCGGTGTGTTTCCTCCGCTCTGACTCATTAGCGACACCGCGTCTCCTACCACTAATTAATTAATAGCTCGCTAATTATACGACATAATTCATTCAACCTCGCTTTTGTGAGATATTGCGTAACACACGAAAGTGGCTAACAGACAGGCAGACAAACGAACAAACAGACAAATACCTATCAACATACTTACCGATCAAGATCGATAAGTAAAAACGAACAAATAAACAGACAAATATCAACATACTTACCAATCGAGATCGATAAGTAAATACGAAGTAGGACTCCTGAATCGAATGAAATTTGAGCGAGGATCCTGTATCATATAGGGTTGCCATGTCCGGAATTTAGGGTTAAATTTTGCGTCCGGGAGGAATTTAAAAAATGCTCAAATGTCCGGAATTCGGAATTTTACTGCATCTGCTATCGTACTGTGCACAGTGCTAATACGGAACATTGTTATTTCGTACCGTGCGCATATTTTTCACTACGAGGTCGTGAAAATATTCGCCCACTGTCCGGAATTTTGCTTTTTCAAATATGGTGACCCTAGTATCATATCTATAGATGGGTTTTCTATATATGAGTATTGCGACACACATATGTATTTGTCTAACGTTTCGCCTGCCCGGGGTCAGAGATTTTTGGACAAGTGACAAGAAAAACGATAATACGAAAAAATTTGAAAAATCACCGATTATTGATATTTTCAACATGTGTACATTTGTTGGTGTGCAGCTAGACGCTTAAACTACTTAGGTCTTAGAATTAGTATTTTTTCTCTCGCGATGGCCTCGTTGCATTATAACCATACAATAATAAAATGTTGAAGACTTATAAAATTAATAGTTATGTTTACGAATGATAAAACATGTCCAGGCAGCATTGACATTCCTCTGTTTTGCTAACATGATTCTGTCCAGTAACGCAACAATGATTTTCCTTTACAGAATTATCGAAATACAATTCTGTCTAGTAACGCAACATTGATTTTTCGTTGCGATATAATTGGAATAGCAATTCTGACTAGTCATGCAACAGTGATTCTCAGTTGCGAAATAACCAGCAAAGCAATTCTGTCTAGTTACGCAACATTGATTCTCAGTTACGGAGTAATGGGATTGGCAATTCTGTCCAGTCACGCAACATTGATTTTCTAGTTCGAAATAATCTAAACTGCAATTCTGTCCAGTCACGCAACAATGATTTTCATTTGCAGAATTATCGAAAACTATTCTGTTTAGTCACGCAACATCGATTTCTTGTTGCGGAATTGTGTTCTGGTCAGTCACGCAACGGTGATTTTCTGTCGCGGAATGTTCGGTATAGCAGTTCTGTCTAGTAAAATACCATTGATTTTCAGTTTCGAATACCGTGGAAATAGCAATTCTGTCTGGTCACGCAACAGCGGAATAATTTTAAAAGCAACATTGATTCTCAATTCTATCTAGTCACGTAACAATGATTCCTAATTGCGAAATATCAGGAATACCACAGAGATGATGCCGCAAACCAGTACTATAAAACTAATTTGTTTACTTTCATCCACACCAAGCTAATAAAACTTATAGTTCCTGGCAATTCGATTAATATAACGTCAAGTGGACGGAACAATAATCATGCGATTTCAGTCGTGGCCGTGAGGGCTTCACATAGGTCAGATATATACCAAGCTATTTGTGAACGAATTGACAAAAATTTTCTTGATTATAAACACATTCATGTACAAATGTGTTCCGAAAGAAGTGTCTGAGCGCGGCATAAATTTCAATTGTTACGTCATTGTTAACTTATTGCTGATTTGTAATTGCTACGGAAATAAATAAAGACATCGATGCTCGGGAAAGCATCTATAGTGCTTGAACCATGCGACAGAAACATAGGTAATCAAAATCTCAGAACCAACGCCTAACTCCTGAAGCGTACTGCCCGTTCTCAGCGGAGCCCAATAAAACTGCTGCTGCTCTCCCGAACGATACCCTATACTGGGATTCCTACTCAGTTTAAACATTGTAAAACCTATTATTGACTCAAAAAACTTTTCTATGTTTTGTAACAATACACATTGTTACATCGAAATACGTCACAGAGAATGTACCATTGTGGCAAAACAATACCTTAAATGAGGCACCCGAAACTAGTATCTGTTATGGATAATGTGACATAACAACTAAAACACAAAGGAAGAAAAAGTAGTAAAACCCCGTGTTCCGATTAACAAATAACATCGCGACTTATTTATTACGACATAGCACAATAGTCTTCACAGCTTTGTTGAGGAACAAAGCTCTGTAAAATGGAATGTGACTTTACAATACACCATAAGATAATAATAAAATAAAAATCGGGAAAGTGAAAAGTCCCCGATTAAATATATTTTACGCCTTTTGCCTTTTACACTTTAAATTACGAATAGCCCCTGAAGTAACAAAAGGTACCGAGGCATTAAATCAGGGCTAAATACGGCCCGCGTAACGATTTAAAATGGCCCGCCGAGCTCAAGTGAAATTGTGAAACAGATTTTGTTTCTACCTTTTTGCCATCTAGAAACTTCCAATTGTTATGTTATTATCACAGTTTAAGCTCGTGTTTATCGTAGCTATTCAATTATATAAGTATCTCAATTATACGTACCGGTGTTAGGATTACATAGGCAGTAATTTGGTCTTCAGCCATGTAAGAAAAGTTCGAAGTCTTGTATTCCTGTATTGAAAGGAATCAAACTTCAACGATTTGTCCACTTTGCAAACGCACTATTCCAGTTCTGTGGCAATACGACATAAAGCGCCATTATGAGTCAACTAAACACGTTTCTTCCGGCCCGCGAACATCTTTCCTATTCTAATTTTAGCCCGCGGCCAATGAAGTTTGGGAACCCCTACATTAAATAATTGGTATACTCCCGAAGTTGGTGAACCAATATGGCGGGCACCGGAACGTAGTATGTGTACCGGGTTAGGGTTGCTAGGCCATAATTTGATTCCAATTTCCCTCATTTAGGTATATTGAGAATTTGTACCCAAAACTATGGCCTAACCCTAACCTGGTACACATACTACGTTTCGGTGTCCGCCATTTTGGTACGCATACTTCAAAAGCGCCAGATTTATATCCACCCAAACCTAGAACATAATATTCATTTTGTTTACCTCCGAGCACTATACCTCTTATATAATTTGTATCGTCCTCTTAGCCAATATACTAACCCTCAAGAACCCTCTAGTATCGGCAAGAACAACAATTCAACACGGGGTATTAAGATCGAGTATTATTTTTCCACTTGATAACAATTGTTATCGAGTTCCGTATCACATCAAATTCAACGAAAAGTACCCGGAATATCGACGGATAATGGATATTGCCAAAAAAATAAATCAAACAAAGGGATTATAACGGCATGATTTGATACCTAATCTATCGTTAAAGCCAGTGATTTCGAAACCGCGGCCCGCCGGTAATTGGGGCCCGCGTAACAATTTAATATGGCCCTCCGAACGCAAGTGAAATAGTTTATTAACGGAATCGAAAATGAGAGTTCTCGTTAAATTGAAATGAATAACAAAATTTGGAGTAAATTCACGTGATCCATAGGACACATAGGACATAGATGGAAAATAAACGTAACGCATAACGTTAATCTAGTGACTTTCTCCATCTTTAAATTGAAATTCAGTCCAATAATTCCGAACAAGAATACGATAAACCTCAACAACAACAACAATATGATTTAAAACAGCAAGAACGTGGAAAAAAACAATCCAAATGCGCACTTCATGCCCTAATAACCAAAGAAAAATATTATGTCTTAAAGTCAAAACACGAATCACAATACCAGTTATATTTTAGTGGCGTCTCGTGATCAATCACACCTAATACCTAGATCCTGTATTGACTTATTTAATCTGAACAATAGATAAACGTTAAGAACCTGTTGAAACGATTTCTTTATTGCTTCTTATCTTGTATAGCATATCAAAACAATAACAATAGAAAAAAAAATACGCTTGATCTTGAAGTTTTAAAAGTATTGAAAGTACTTCTATAGTGTGTGTACCAGGTTAGGGTTAGGCCATAATTTATTCCGAGTTTCCTTATTTAAGTTCTATTACGAGTTCAGTGACTGTCTTTGATAGCCAAGTGAATATACTCCCTGCCCATAGGTTTCAGTTCCTACACAAATTGATGTAAAGTACGCTAACACAAAGAGTAATCTTCATATTGGTACACACACTTCTGGAGCGCCGGCTCGTGATCTATCGCATCTCACACTTAGATCCCGATTTGACTTATTGACCTGTCCTGTCCTGAGCAATAGAAAAACGTTAAGTACCTATTGAAACGATGTCCTTGTTGCTTATTATCTGATAGAATATATCAAAACAATCCCATTATTTTTACGTTTGATCTTGAAGTTTTAAACGTATTGACGCAGTTGCTTGTGAATGAGTACAAAACATTTCCTAACAAAATACTTCGTATCTGCCAGCGTTTAAATCTTGACATAAAAGACCAAAGGCTGTTACAGATTGATGTTTAGAGAGAAGGATAACTGGCTATGTCGGACATTCTGTCGCGTTACGTAAATAAGTCATTTGGCCTCCTGAAGTTAGCGCACAA